ATCCAGGCCCTCAGCTGGATTCTTTAGGTCTGTCATGTGTAGACAGATCTCCTGCACTCCTACATTTGACTTTTTGGGTGAATATTATACAATAATCCTATAAGTTATGTGCCCTGTATTAATCTATCCCTTGTACCCCCGACAAAGCAACTGGCTTATCGTGTACCGTCATTGTGCATGTGCACCAGGTAATCCTGAAAAGGTTTCATTTCTGTTTTGCGTATAAGGAAGGAGTCTTGGGAAATCTTCACCTTTCTGCTCTCACATAGTGGCGCCTAACGTCCCTCACAGTGGTCAGCGTTTACTGAAGAAATCACTAAGCTAGTTCGTGAGAGGAGTTGGACTGTGAACCTCAGGGGTTTCAATAGCAAGATTCTGTTCCAGCATTGTTGCATTTTAAGTCTAACATTTGTAGACTCTCTTTTCTTCTTGCTATGATTTAACGCTACCTCTAAATTCTAAAATTACTCACAAAAGTAGAAACTTCATTTCAATTTTATGGTGACAAAATGAGCAGATGCTCCGGCCTAAGGATGGGCTGGGGGATGTGCAAATGGTAGAGGGTTTCTTTTAAGTGCTGGGAATTTTCTAATAGTAGAATGTGGTATAAATCGTGTTCTGTAAATATATTGAAAACATTGAATTGTACCCTTAAAACGTGTAGATTTTATGTAAGTTTAAAAAAAGACACATATTCTGCTATTCTGAGGCAGCCAAAAGATTTAATGTTGAAAAGCTGCCAAACGTCTAATTAGAAAGTCAGAGATTAATCGCTTGCATTTTCTGAATTTCCCCTGTGATGGTTAAAAAAAAGTTCTATCTGAGATCACATCTGCAGTGGATGCGTTATTACCCCCACTTAGAAAGAAAGGAAATTGGGACTCAAAAGTTTAAAATAAGACGCTCCAGTCCATAGCCAACAAGAACTGTGCGTGGCGTAGAAGCAACGCTGGCCCCAGGGCCGGGCTGCTCCCAGCCTCCCTCAGGCAGCCTCTCTGTGAGTGAGAAGCTCTTCGGTTGTTTGAGGAGAAACCACTTTCGTCTCCCAGAGGACAGGAAGCCGGTTTTTTAGTGTTTCTGCCAGCATTTTGTATTTTGTGCTTAAGAAGATTCTCGAAAGGTGTGAGATAGACTCTTTTTTCAGTACTGAACACAAACAGAGTCTAGGCCTTCTGTTAATGAAAAAATACACGTTTCTTTTCTTTTGGTATTCACGAGGGTACAGTCTTTATTTGTCCTGTTTTGAGATGGGGTTTGAGCGTGTTGCCCTGGCTGGTCCAGAACTCCGGAAACTGAAGCTCTCTTCCTGCCTTGTTCTCCTGAGTATCCAGGGCTGTGTGCACCTGTCACATGCCTGACTAGGAAGCACTGTTTTATGGCTTTTAAAATAAATGAGTACACATGCGCACACAAGCACACACAATGCTGGAGGTGTTTCTGTGCGTGTGTGTGTGTGTGTGTGTGTGTGTGTGTGTGTGTGTGTTTTCCCTGGAGACTCCAAGTCTACAGCTGGCTTAGTGATGCTGAGAATCTCTGCGAAGAGACTTGCACGGTTGCACCTCAGCACTCTGGAGGGACTGGTCACTGTCCTGTCTCCTGTACGTGGCTAACAGCCTGGTTTTGAATTACCTGACCAGTTGAGTGGGTTGCTCCTCACGTATCTTACGGAATGCCTTTTTGGGGAATTCTGAGCTAACAGGCCTGCAGTTCCCATCTTCCACCCGGGCTAGTCATCTTGACGCCTTCAGTTCTGTGCAGCTCACACCAGCATTGCTTCCTCCTCGTTCTTTTCCCCTGATCATTACGTGTTTAGCCAGCCTCGCAGTGAGCCTGCCCCTACCATCCCAGTGGTACAAGCCTGCTGTGGCCCCTGCCCTTCCTGGGTCCTTCCCCCGGTCTGGCCCAGGCAATCTCCTAGACTGCGTGGCCAGCTTATCCTTTGCTCTCTGCCTTTGCAAACAACCCAGACCCCTGTGTTCATCTTTTCCTTCCCTTCTCCTCGAGGTGGTGATGGTGTGGCGCACGTGCCGCGGCGGGCTGTTTGCTGTCATTGAAAGCGCTGAAAGGTTCGGCGTCACTGACCCTGGACGTGTCCTACACTTCCTTTCAATGGGTTGAAATAAAATTTTAAAATAAACAAAAACAAGAAACCAAGCCAGTAACAAAGGAGCAGAACATGTCTCTGGGCTAAATTTGGGCTCTTAATGTGATTTCATACATCTCTTGGACTTTGCCAGCCAGCCATGGTGATTTTCATATAAAAATAAATACAGGTGACATGTAAAAAGTCTAGAGTGAGTGTTGTAATGCTGTAACACTGCCGATGAAAATGGGTCTCACAGTGTTTGGTTTTCCCACTCTACCAGTATTCTCAGAAACTGGCACGTAAACAAGAAGTTGTATGTATTTGGCAATGGTGGAGCTTGTTAAGTAATGTGATTCTTACATCCTGCTGCCATTTCAAAGTCCAGTTCATTTGCAGGAGTCCCCAGGTCACTTCCTGTGTGCTCAGAGGTGACTGAACACTAGGGCTGGAAGTTGTTAAGCCGTTTCAGGAAGTGGGGCATCTCCTGGTGGCAAGAGTGGATTGTGTATTCTCACTTTTGACTCACTTCCTACTGGACAGCTTTCTCTGCTCTCCCTCCATCTCTCCTTCCCTTCCTCCAGTGCTGGGGATGGAACCCAAGGCCTTCACACTGAGCTGCATCCCCAGCTCTGTTTATTCATTTTAGTTGATCTTGTTTTGAGATAGGCTCTTACTAAATTGCCCAGGCTGGGCCCGAACTTACCGCCCTTCCAGAATGCTGGGATTACAGGCTCAGCCTCCTTTCTTGTTAGATGTGGTCACTAGCCTTCCCTAGCACATGGCCCCCCAAATAAGGGAAGTGGCTCCCTCCTGACATAGGTGTCTTACTTGCTTTGTAGTCCAGATGTCCTCTCAGCCCCCAGTCCAGCGCCTGCATATCACACTCTAGCAAAGCACAGCCAAGGACAAATTCCAAACCTTTGCATAGATATTTTAGAAGCATTCTTTCCTATCTCTCTCGGGCTAGATTTTATGCAGGCGTACCTAAATTTGGACAAAAGATATGTTCTAATAGAACTCTCTGTTTTAAAGAATTTCAAGGTAGCTCTCTTTCAAAGCAATGAATGCATCTATAAAGGTCACCCTGTATTTACCTCTTTGTATGTCCGATTTTTCCCCCAGTAGATTTGTTCAGAGGAGGTAATTGTAATTTGGCTAACAAATGCATTTTCTTTACAAAGGGCATTTTGAAAAGTGTTACATTAAGTAGATGGATTTGGACACATTGCAATTATTAAATTTACAGCGTGTTTTCTGTGCAGTAAGAAAATAACATCTCAAGATGTGCTATTGTACATGTATAAGTAATTGAAAAATGACTCGAATCTCTTAATTCATTTTTTTCAGCCATGAGGATTTCATGAACACAACGTCTTGCATATGCTAAGCAAGTACTCTGCCACTGAGCTTCATTCCCACCCCTCCTGATTACTTGTTTAAATCAGTATAGAAATGGCAGCCCTAGGAAATGGAGATAAGAGAGGATTTCTTGTGTACCTACTGTGTGTCCGGTCTGAGTATATTTCATTATCAAGTGCAGCTTGGTGTAGGATTTGAAGCTGCTGGTTCTAAGACTGAGTTAACTGAAGCTGAGTATCGGCCTCCTCACTGGGGCAAGGACTCAGCGTGGTAAAGCGTGTGAAGCACCTGGCCCCGCGCGGTGCGGTAGAGAGCACGCGGCAAGTCCTCGCTGCGCATGGTCTCTACTCCGTTTAGTCCTGCGAAGTAGTCAGTGTTTCTGTTCTGCGGAGGAGGAGACTGTCTCAGAGCAACCCAGGGACATAAAGAAAGTTTTCGGATGTTGCAGAGGCAGAATTCAGAACCAGTGTGGGCCGGGCACTCTGATAAAACCTTTAACAGGAGTTACTGCGCAGGCTGCCAGGATAATCAGTGCTGGCGTCTCCCCACGATGGGAGAGACCCCCACAGCGAGAGTGATGTGATATCCCTTGCTGAGAAAGCTGCCCAGCCTAAAGGCAGCAGACTCACAATAAACATCTGTAAATTTAGAAAAATTTGAAAAGGGTCACTTTCCGCTGTCAGCTTTTTTTTTTCTTTTTTTTTTTGCGGTTTGTTTGCAGTGGATTGTAAATTCTGCATCACGTGGAGAAATCGATGCTTTTTTTAAAATGTGCATGGTTTATGAAACACGCCAATGTACCAGTCCTACCAATGCCAGTGCTCTGTAAATGTCATCATCCATGCAAATATCAACATCTAATGCCAGCTTAAGGAAGTCGTAAGGATAGTTTCCTTACCAGTGAGAAGGCAGGCCTCCGGGGTTGTGTTTTGGGAGGTTGCGGGGTAGCCCTTCTGGCTGTGGCTTAAGTTTAGAGCATCTTTGTGTCTTCGAGGTGATTTTCTGCTCCCTTTCTGTACTGACCACATATGGGCTGCTGTCAGACAGTGGTTGAAGCTTTAATAGTGGCAGAGTTCATAATGGTGGCCTTGAAACTAGAAAATCACTTTACTAAGGTAGGATACTGGCTAGTCACACGGATGCTCTGTAACCCACGGCTCAGGTAGGATTTGATCCTTGTAAAGGGTGAGTCTTCTTCCTTTAGATGGACAGTATATACCGGAGAAAATGGAAGGAAAGGTTGGTTCCACAAATGTGTTGGGCTTAATAAAAAAGAGTACAAGATAAGAATTGGGCTGAATGTTGTACCATTTTCATTGCATTTTTACTTCCTAACACATAATCTAGTCAAAATATTTCCTTTCACTGTGTTGCCACATTCCACGTAACTCAGATGCTTAACTATGCTCTGCCATCTAAGTGTATATCTGCAATGAGGCACAGTGTGCGTCCATTCTGCGCAGAGGAGAGGAGCGCACCCCGGCACACTGCGAGGGCTGTGACAATCAGAAGCTACTCGTCACCTCACGGGAGCTGCTTTGTGTTCTGTCTCCAGGGTTCAGCAGATTCCTACACGAGCAGGCCGTCTGACTCTGATGTCTCTCTGGAAGAGGACCGGGAAGCAATTCGGCAGGAGAGAGAGCAGCAGGCAGCTATCCAGCTCGAGAGAGCAAAGGTGACCTTCTTTCCTCTCTTTGGGCAACACTGGCTGGTTCTCGGGCGCTGTAGCTGCCCTTGCCCCTCCTCACATTTCTCTGAATACTCATTTTCCAGTCGTCCTGCTAAAGCGCCACATTGCAAGGCTCTGTGGTCCGCGGGCCACGAGAGAGGTTAGCACCTTCCCCAAGGGGCATTCCCCCTTCTGTTCTTAGTTTCGGGGTGAATTCCTGCTCACTTCCAAGCCCTTCAGTGTGGCAGCACTGAGCTTGCCATGCCTGTGGTTGGCAAAGAGCTTTCTGACGCACCCGCTCGTGCTCCTGCCTGTTTCCCTCTTGTCCCTTCCGGGCCGCAGGGGCCTTGCTGCGCTCCGCATCTCCCTGCTGGGTCTTACACCTTCTCTCTCTAGGTTTCAGTCTCCCACTTCAAGTTCACTTTGAAGTTCGGAATTCTGTTCTGGTTTTGTCGGGATGGGAGCGTGGGGCAGACAGCCCTGTCCATCGTGTTTATTTACCCCAGGCTGGCCCTTCCTCCGGGCAGGGCAGGGTACTCTGACTCTGTAGGGTCTCGTAGGCTTTCAGATCTGAGTCTGTTTAAAAAATATTTTACTGTTCTTCCCCGCAACCCTTGTTTGTTTTTTTACCTAACTCCTAGCACATGTTTCCTGTATCCCGAGGGGAGAGGGTATCTATTACCATTTACAATACGTATGACCAGTGAACAAGGCAAACTGTCTTCACCTCTCTCCCTCCCTCCCCAGTACTTCAGGCCGCAGCTCTGTGAGGTTTTGGAAGGAACCACAGAGGGACAGGCTGGTGGGAGTGAGTCATTTTCAGTCACCTCTGCAGATTTCTGGATGTTGCCTAAGAATGTGAAACCCAGTGGAGAGTCCTCTTTGCGAAGTGCTGTCCCTTACTGTCCGGTGCTGTCGGTCAGCTGTGTACGATCCATCTCAGTGTGAGGAACCCTCCCCTCCCTCCATTCTCACTCTACGGTTGCTTCCATGTCTAGTCCAAACCCGTGGCATTCGCTGTGAAGACGAACGTGAGCTACTGCGGTGCCCTAGACGAGGATGTGCCTGTTCCGAGCACGGCCATCTCCTTCGATGCCAAGGACTTCCTGCACATCAAAGAGGTAACTGTGTAGGACTTACTGTGTCTCCCTACCTGCCAAGCGCCAGAACTTCCGGTGTCAGCTCTGAGCCGCGCTCTCCAGAGAGAGCTGAGGAGCTGCCGGCCTGGTGCCTCTCTCAGTTTTCTGGGCCTTCCGCAGCCATTCGTTCTCACCAAGATTTAGAAGCCTGAGATCACGGCCTGCAGTATCACACACTCATTACAACACTGGATATCGGTCAACCTTTGGAGTCGTAGGATGGATTGAAGACAATCCTGCATCCTTTCGCTTTTATTTTTCTGCAGCATTACACATCAAACCCAGGACCTTGCACATGCTAGGCAGGCACTCTACCACTGAGCTGTACCCCAGCCCATCTTCCCTCCCCTTCCCCTCCCTTCCCCCCCCTTCCCCTCCCTCCCCTCCCCTCCCCCTCCCCCTCCCTTCTCCTCCCTTCCCCTCCCCTCCCTTTCCCTTTCCCTTTCCCTTTCCCTTCCCTTCCCTTCCCTCCCTCCCTTCCCTCCCCTTCTCTTCCCCCTCTCCCTCCCACTCCCTTTCCCTTCCTTTCCCTCCCCTCCCCTCCCTTCCCTTCCCTTCCTTCTTCTTTTATTGCAGCACTGGCGCTTGAACCCAGGCCCTCATGAACCCAGGGTTATACCATAAGGTGTAGCCCATGTTTTACTCACTTTGCACTACCACAGAGCCGTAGATCTATCAGTCCAACGTGAGAAGTGTCGGTTTGGTGGCGTGGCACCTCCTCGGAAGGGACTATAACAAGGGATGCTACAATTGTGAACACTGAGCTCTGGTCCTGTGAACTGTGATCTTGGAACCAACACAAGAGTGTAGAGTCACTAGAGTAAAGTGTTAAAGCTAAGAAAAGGACAGAGGACTCTGGGAAACAGAGCTTCAGAGCTTGGCCAATACAAGGGCGACTTGTGGCCGAACATCTGGGCAAATGGAATATTGACATGAAAAGCCTGTGTTTACTCAGCCTAGGTACGCTGACGTTCTACTTCGCGTCAGACACGCTGTGCTGGGCATCAGAGGGTCAGATGCGAGGACCAGAAATAAGGATCACCGTCCCCGTGGACAGGGAGCTCTGAGTTTAGTGGGAGGAGCAGATGCACACAGCTTCCACCAGAGAGGGTCAGTTCTACTATAGAAACACTGGGTGAGTAATGTGAGAGCTCCAAGAGGAGGAGAAGAGACTGCCTGCTGGTAGGAAGGAGGTCAGGGGACGAGAAAGCCCTGCAGACGCAGAGAAGCCTGAAGCAGGCCAGGCCAGGACGCGGGGTGGCGTCCGGCAGAAGGAATGGTCACAGCGTTCTTTGGACAGACACGGGCGGATGTGACCAGCTTCACATGTTAGAGGGGCATTGTAAGGGGCAAAGGGGCATCCACAGGGCCGGCAAGACATGCCAAAGGCTGGACCGCTGCTGTCGCAGAGAGGCGGGGAGAGGAAGCAGCTTGGAGAGAGCCAAAAGCCCTGTACATGGATCTGGAGCTTTCACATGGACGGGAGGAGTGGGGAATGTGAGAGAGAAATGGCCTGTGTGGAAGGATAGTAGCAGAGAAGGCGGGGAGGTAAGCAGATGTGTTGTAGGAGTGGATGTGTTTATGAGTTGTGCCTGTGAGTACCTATGTGTGGGGCGTTGTGGGCCTCCTCACAAGGTGCCTGCACCGCCCTTACCTACATCATCTGCAGGCCAGAGCAGCGGAACTGTAATATGTTTTTCCTAAGTGCTTTGAGTTGAAAAGGAGAAAGGGTTCCAGCCCGGGGAAGCTTATCACTAAGACTGAAGAAACGTGTTTGTAAGCCACTGCATACTTTTGCTTTTCAGGATGAGAAAGATTCTATTGTCCGTGCCGAGATACTGAACCCAGTAAAATACTTTGAAAGGAAAAGGGACAGCTCATCGAGCGAGGGGCTGGAGAAGCGGGGAGGAGACGGCGTCTGGGGGGTGGGCAGGGGCTCGGGCTGAATCTGGAGCGTGGCCTCGCCTGCTTGGAATCTCCCTGTTCTGCGAAGCGTTTTCCAGAGGGGCTCGGGGCGTGCAAGGAAGGCTGCTCCCGCGTGGCGGGCCCCACTTGCTCTGCGAGGCGTGAGGGCTGGGAAGCAGGGACGTGAGCCCTGCGGGTGGGTGCCCGAGGACTGACCAGCGCAGACACACTCAGTGCCACCGTGCTGACTCGCAGTCCGCAGTGAGGCGGTACATACGGAATGAGTTTGGAAAATTATTATTTTTGAAACTGCATTCTCCTGTCCGAATTAGTAGCATGGACACTGGCCAAGCCAAGGAGACAGCAGACAGTGGGCACGAGGGCCCGCACCACGTGTGCTTCCCGGGAGGCCGACACGGGGCAGGCAAGGTACCGGTCCTAGGTCGTCTCTCCAGTGGGAGCTGTCGAAGCCCCTGCACATGCTGATGTTAACCTCGGACAGAGGGTGGGCACGGGGCTGAAGTTTCTGAGTCGGCAAGAAGGCTGGGACCCGGGCCTTGGCAGGACCTTCCTTGTGACGGTTCGGGAAAGAGATGAGTGTGGGCACGGGTAGCTCAGAGCCTTGGTCAGGGGAACCTGCAGAAGCATCACCTGCACGACTTCCGCTGTCCTGATGGTCGTAAGCGGAGACGTCTGCATTTACCTGGATGGCAGGGAGCCTGAACCGACACGTGCCCTAGTGTCTTGATGGTTACCTCAGCTCCGTTTGCACGAAGCTTGACCAAGCCATACTCACTGGTTGCCAAAAGCACGTTACAGGTGTCTCACTCACACAAACATTCCAGCCTTGCGCTATTGTATTGCTTTCCCACATTCTACCAGTATTTCCTCTTCATTACTATTATAATTATACAGTTTGTGAAGCACACTGTGATTACTTGATATGTGCATATAATACATCGTGATCAAATCAGGGTAGTTAACATTTCCATCACACTAAATTCTTTTAAATAGCTTTTGCATCAGATGTGGTGGCACACGCCTGTAATCCCAACACTCAGGAGGCTGAGGCAGGAAGATCATCACAAGTTTGAGGCCAGCTTGAGTTAAATAGTGCCTCAAAAAGTTTTTGGTTAACACTGTAATTGCACATTTGTTGAGTGTGATGCTTTAGTCCGTGTGTACAATATAAAAAGTACTGACAAGATCGGGGTGATTAGTATTTCCCTCAGCTTCTCGTTACTTTGAATCTGGAGCCTTTGAGCTCCGCCCTGTCAGAATTCTAATTTGTCGTGTTGGCTGCTTGTTGATCAGGAGCTTTGCCTTCAGCCCGGCAGTTTGATACGTGGAATTGAGCTGTTAATCCTGGGTAGACGAGAGCCACTCATTTTCAGGTCTTGAAAGATCAGACTAACAAAATCTTAGAAAGAAAAAGCACTAATTATTTTAGGAAAAGCAAAGTAAAAACATTGGAACAGCACTCAGGTGACCTTCCCAGAAAGCTGGAGCGCGCTCCCCGCCCATCAGCCGTGCAGACGAACACCCTTCTGTCATCGAGGTGGAGGCTTGTTTCTCACCCTCACTGACGCCATTTCTTACGCACCATTCTAAGTATTTTGTCCCTAATGAAAAAACTTAAGCCCAAAGAAAAGTGACAGTGCTGCTTATCCCCGGAGCCAAACGATGACTGAACTAAGTTCTTTTACTTACATAGCAGCTTTCTCCTAAGTAGCTCAAAGGACTTGCGCTCGCATGAGTCAGAGCCTCCCTGTACTTTAGCTGTTTCTGAGAGTTAAGTTAAACCATTTTGGAAGTGTATTAACAATTTTAGGAAACCCACTAAGTCACCTGGGTGCCATTTAATGAATCAGTATAACAGTAAACTAACTTAATTTCAGGAAGTAACTTAAGCCCTGGGAAACTGTGACTCACAGTCTGTTTTGTCCTGGCCCAACTGCAGTAAAATTGAAATTCCAAAGCTGTGGACCAATGCTTCTGAGGGGGTCTGCTCCCCTTTTCTTAATTATGAAATAAACGGGCCTGTTATTTCAGACCCTACGTCCTGAAATAAAAGATGAGAGAAACTAAGACCTAGATTGTTCAAGATTGTCTATTAGGACAGTGACATTTCTTCGGTAGAGTCTCAGGCTTCATGTTCTGTATGCCTTGGGTAGGAACTGTGTGCATGATAAAGACCAAATCCTACCCTTTCGTTTTCTTTACAGTGTGAGGCTCTTACTCAGAATTTCTCCAAGTTACTCAGAGTTTCATGCTGTGATGATTCAGTGCAGTCATCCATTCTTTTCTCACAGTGTGTCAGTATCATAGGCACACAAATCCTGTTTTTCCGGAGCTAAGCAAAATGTCCTATATATAGTCATTACATTTGAGCTACAGCTAGATAGATAGGCAGGCAGGCAGGCAGGCAGAGAGAATTTTCTGACAAAGACAGTAAAGGAAATCTTTGGAACCATCTCTGGAAATTTTATTGGTTTGATACCTGTTTTCTAGAAATGACCTAGCTGAGCCTTCCCAGGAGGCAGATGGCTTGGACTAAATTGCTTTCTCCCTAGGATTTGGCAAACTAACAATTATAAATGCAGTTTTGTTGGCCCATCACACACGACTCTGTTGACAGTCTCAGCCCACATGGAGCCTCTGTGTGGACTCGTGTCCCAGGTTTACACCAAGCGATATTTGGGTGGAAGTGTTTGGGTTCTTGTTGGCTTCAGTCCACTTGGAGATTATTCCGAAATTTCACATACAAGGTTTTAATATGCCTAGGCTTTGTAAGAATAGACTGGCTTTTTTTCCCCTTCAAATGGTAAGATGGGCCATAATTTACAAATCTGTATTTGGAAGAAACTAGACTACAGACCGTATATTTGTTTTTGTTTTTTGAGACAAGATCTTGCTATGTAGATTAGGATGGCTTTGAACTTGCTGTCCCCCTGCCTCAGCCTCCCAATTGCTAGGATTACAGATGTGTGCCACCAAGCTGGGCAGCACTGTGAAATTTTTACCTGAGAGCTTTTGACAAATAACAGACGGTTAGTGAATGGATTTCAGTGAGACATACCTATCTGGCTTTCCAGAGGTCCCTTTCCACTGACTCATATTTTGACTGATAAAAGTTACTCCTTTTGAGTTGACTAGGGCTTCTTTACAAGAGCCAAAGGAGTCACAGGTTAGGACATGACTTCAATAGATATTGGCAAACGCTAGCCCACAGGTCACAGCTGGGCCAGTACCTTTGTTATAAAGAAAAATTGCGGGGCTGGGGATATAGCTCAGTGGCAGAAGGGCCTCCTGGCAAGTGTAAGGTTGTGAGTTTGATCCCCGGTACCGCAAAAAAAAAAAAAAAAGAAAAGCTGCATTGAAACATAACCATGTCCACTTGTTTATGTGTATCTGTGGTTACTTTCACGTTAGACAGCAGATTTAGTTAGTTCTGGCAGGGACCATAGGGTCCGCAAAGCCTGAAATATTTATTGTCAAGGCCTTTATAGAAAAAAAAAGGTCTGGAGAACCCTTCTTCACTGTATGAGCCCAAAATATGTGCTATAATGTATAAAGTATAATATTGTATCAGTAGTATCTATATACAATATAGGCCATATAATACAGCAGTTTATCATGCGAAGAGTGTTCTGTTCTTCTGACCTCCTGGATTAGTCACTGGCGTGTGTGGAGAAGTGAGTTAATACTGATAGCAGTTTTCTTCTGCGCTCCAGAAGTACAACAATGACTGGTGGATAGGAAGGCTGGTGAAAGAGGGCTGTGAGATCGGATTCATCCCAAGTCCACTCAGACTGGAGAACATGACGGCTCAGCAGGAGCAGAAGAGAGGACGTTTTCACGGAGGGTAAGGCCCTTCCTTCCCACAGGCTTTGCTTCAGTAGAAAAAGTAGATGATGTTTTCGAGTTTGCCTGTTTATGATGTCAAAAATGTGTGCTTTTTTATTCTGGGAGGTGATAAAATGAAATTTCATAACAAAATAATAAGAGACTAACCATAATTAATAGACTGGGTATCATTATCTCCGAAGTAGTTACTCTGAGACGAGAAAGATTCTTACAAAGAAATAAACAGATAATAGCACAAAACTTTTCCAATGAAGAGAAACTAGTAGGACAAATGAAATGAATTGGCTGCATTAGCCTATCTATTAAAATATTTTTGATGCAGCGGAATAGATAACTTAGGGAATTAAAGTGTATGCTTTTAAAGTGAAAGGCCCTTTTCTGTGTACTGGGTGTTTCTGAGCTGGACACAGAGGGTTTGGGCTCCACTGTCCCCGTACTGTGCTGACACCGCACATCCCTGGAGTCCACGTGAATTGCACTGTGGCCTCAGCAAACCCCTCGGAGCTCGGGCCTTCCTCTGCGAGAGTCCTGTGGGGCGCTGTCCCCCAGCGCAGCCAGTGGAAGCCAGCCTGACCCCGCAGCGTGCATCTTCTTGGTGCGCTTTCCAGGGCTGTCTCAAACGAGCGCAGAATGAGCTGGGCGTGGACAGCACTGGCAGCGCCTTCTCCACCGGGGCTTCTCTTCCGTCTCGTTAGCTTGGGCGAATCAGCGCCCAGTGAGCTAATAAGCAGCCCCGTGGACCTCAGAGAGCAGGGGCTGAAGGGCCTAGGAACGCAGGCCCAGCCCGAGGGGAGAGGGACCGGGGCCTCTGAGCGCTGCCGCCTGGGCTGAGGCATTGATTGGCCCTGTGTTCGAAGTTTTTTGAAAGCCGTGAGCTGGATTCTGTTCTTTCTCCTGATTTCCAATTTTCATTTTTTGTTGGACTCTATTTCAGAAGATCTCTTTAGGGCCCCTTTTGCCTTTGTCCTAACGGGAACCTTTTAAACAGGAACAGAAGGAAGTGCAGCGAGGCCCACTTTTCGTTGTAATTTGGGTTTGATGCCGAAGAGCCGGCCCAGGGCCTCGTACACTCTACCGCTGAGTTACGTCTGCAGCCCCACGTGCGGTGTTCATCTTCCTAGTATATAACATGCGTAAGCTAGTATCACTTTATCCATCTCCTCTCCCTTCTCTGGGCATTCTGTCCCCCACATGTGGCCGTAAGCACCCCGGGGCCACGTGGTTCTGCCTCAGGGCCTCCACATTTGCTCCTTCCTCAGACTGGAGCCCTGTCCTTCACATTTAGCAGGTCGCTCTTCCTCTGGCGCAAATCTGTTAGGTATCACCTTCCTGGTGGTCTTTCACAAAGATCTAGTAGCTGCTTTCTAGTAACCCCTTTTTTGCTAATAGTATTTAAAATTTTACCTACTCCCTTTCCCTCTGCTTCCTGTCCCTTTCTGGACTGTTTTCTCTGTTACACCTGTTACTTTTGGGAGTACTATAATTATTCACGTATTTATTTTCTTAGCACTTGATGCCTCCCACTAGAATATGATTCACTAAGGAAAAGGATTTTGTGTCCTGGACCCACTACTATATCCCTGCCTTCTAAAACAGGGCTACAAAATCAGTATTTTAAATGCAGATAACAAATTATTATTTTAAACTTCTATTGTTACGATTATTATTGTTATTATTATTCAATAATATTATTATGTACATTTTTAACTCCATGGCAGGAGCAGCGATAATGCCAAGAACTCACAGACAGAATCTTACTTATCTTTATACCAACCCTATGAGGTGCAGTTAGCTTCTATGTCTGAACACAGAAACTAAGGCTCCAAGACTTACTGTGGTATTCCAAGGCCCCATCTAGGAAGGGGCGAGGCGGAGGTGAGAAGTCGGATTTCTCTGACTACAGAGAATGCTGGAGGCACTGGAAGGGAGGGACGCTCAGGCAGTAGGAAGTCCTTGGTCCTTAGCGGCCAAGGACCTCTGAGGGCGCCAGGGAAACTGCCAGAGCACATGTGAGGACACACGTGTGACCGACAGACTTCCCTTTCCGGTCACAAATAATGTTACCTTTGACCAGCTCCTTTCTGCCAGCTCTTAATTCTTACCTCCTCATAGTCATGCTGAAGAAGAGATTGTTCCTGCAGGTCTTACTGCTTGTTTGGAGCTGTGTTTGACCGCTGGCTGGCACATTGGTGACTGGTGTTAGGTAAGCAGGCAGTTCACAAGGACGTTCTTGCCAGGGATCCTTTTGCCTAATTTCTGCACTTAATAAGTGGAAGAGATACTTTTGCAAAGTATTTTCAGGTCCCTATTACTTCTCCATTTTCTCTGAGAAGTGAGGTCAAAGAAAACATTGGAACAAATTCTTGAAGTTCCTCTCCAGCAGGGTTTGGTGTGTTTTGAATTATTTAGTCGAATGAAGGCCAAAGAAAGCCTTACACTCTCAAGTTGCATTTGCAAAGAATCTGGGGAGTCTCAAGCTCCTTTCTGTATCCTAGGAAATCGAGTGGAAATTCTTCTTCAAGTCTTGGAGAAATGGTATCAGGGACATTCCGAGCAACTCCCACATCAACAGGTGAGGAGTTGGGTTAGTCTTCTTACTGGAACATGTTCCTTTAAATATTGGAACACGCGTGTGAGCATTTTTTCTAACTTGGATGTTAGTTACAGGCTAGATTTAAAGGTTTTTTATTTAATACTTCATTGTTCTTTTGTTTTCTATGGTAATTTGAAGAGTACTTACGATATAAAAATTCAGATCATTATACTGTAACTTTGAAAAATTCTGTATACCTCAGGTAACTGTCCCTTGTGTAAACTGTTGCAGCAAGTTCATTGCCCTGTCCAAGATCCCAGCAGACTTTAAGATAGTGAGGGCCAATGGGAAAAGAAGAGCTATGCACTCTAAAGCCAGTGCTGTGTTCTGTCCTCACATGGAGCTTTAGGATCAGGTTGATATAGCCTGAGCTGCGGACATCGGGAAGGGTGCAGCAAAGCATGAGCTAGGACCCAGACGACCTCGTGTGTCTACCTGGAGAGCAGAGAGCTGGAATTAGCAATGAAGGTGCAGTGGGGCCTCCGAGGGAGTTTGCCGTGCCTGTGGGAATTACGGAGGTTCACCTCCCAGGGGTTTTTCTCCACCGCCTTCCTGACTCCTGCAGAAGAACCTCACTCTGGCCCAGAACTGATGCCATGGTTGTGGTAGGGTATCTGGTATTAGCAGTTCCGAATGGCAGGTCCGAGGCTGTGTTCCTTCACGTACAAACTCAGTCGGCTCTCCAGCAGTTCTGAGCACGTGGTTCTTGTTCAGTCCTTCCTGGTCTCCGGGGCTCTGAACCACACTGTACGTCTACGTTTCCCCAGTAGATAGCACCTGCTGAATGGTGACAAAGCCTCTTTCACCAGATGTTAAGCTTTGCTTCATTCCCCTTCGCTGGACATTCAGGACCTAGCAGCTTTTCACTGTAAGAAACAGGAAAGAAGAGGAGTAAGCACTTAGCAATTCATTTGAAGTTTGAAAGCAGTGTAGTAGAAAAAATGCTATCAGTATTCTAGAAAATGGGCAAAAATGCCTAACAACCTACAAAATTACCTCATGGTTCACATACATAGACAGAAGAACCAGTGACTGTAGGATGAGTCGTATTTGCTCGAATTGTTCTTGTTTTATTCTGTCACATTTTGTGCGCCTGCAGCCACACTCTCTGAGGTAGTTAGCACAGGGGCAACCCGTGGTTGGTGGTGCTGTTAGGAGCGCCTGTCCTGCACCCCGTCCCCACCCCAGCCTGAAGCCAGGGCGGGACAGCATTTACACGGAAGCGGGTATCTGTTTCTCACGTGTCTTCAAAAGTGGTGCGTCCAGAACGTGACAGTAGACAGTGCTCTGCGGAGCGGATGGCAGGGAATGCTGAGGACAAGTACGAGGACAGTGGGTGCGTTCTTCTTTCTTGTAGACTCGTGTACTGTCACTTACAGAGATTACATATTTTGATATGGCTCTCATTGTTGTCTTTTAGCAAAACAGAAGCAAAAAGTGGTAAGTTGTGTTTCCTTTCTTAAACTTACTGTTAAGGTACCTGTGCATACTTGCCTGCAAAGCTCCGTGTCGGTGGCCCAAATGACTGTCAAGTCAGGGCCGAGCCTCCTCTGTGGGGGCCGCTGGTAACCCGGTATTGTTCTGCCTGCGACCCGTGAGTGCCGCAGCCGCCGAGCACCGCGCCCGGCCTGACCTGCGGTGCGTGTCGACTCATCTCTTTCAGACGGAGCACATCCCTCCCTACGACGTTGTGCCGTCCATGCGTCCCGTGGTGTTAGTGGGGCCGTCGCTGAAGGGTTATGAGGTACAGATGCCACCTGTCACTCCCTCCCTGACCAAGAACCCAGAGCCTTTCCCCGGTGCCCGCCCCTCCAGGGTTTGTTCCCGGTGGGAACGCGAGGAAGGCCGCGCTCAGATGTGAAGGGGGGGCGCAGCGAGGGCTTTGTGAGCGGTGCCCCTTCTTCCGCTTCCTGCACACGTCTCCTCTTTTATGTGTTACACTGTTTAGAAAGCTCTCCCTCAGAACGTCGGCAGTGGGAAATTCTGGTAGGAGATTCGCTTTGCATTAAATTCACAGAACGGGACTTGATTTATCTCACCCTTTTCTGTTCTTAGTGGAAACCACAGAAAGTGAACAGCACAACAGAGACACACAGTCTCCCAGGAGCCCTGAGCGCTCCGGGCACCAGCCAGCCTCACCTGGACAGTGGCATACTTCACCAGATGTGTTTTGTCTTACTTATTTTTTAAGGACATTTAGGGAAAGCCCAATAAAAGCATTAGCAAATTCTGGAGATTAACCATTCAACAAGGAAAAAAATGGGCACCCACATCACATTTCAGATGTTGCCATGTGGGGTTTGGGCAGGCGCAGGAGAGAATAGAGGAGGTGACCTTTAAATCTGGAGGGGGCTGCCCTCCGGGACGCCATTCCCGCCCAGGCAGGACAGTGTCTGACGCAGAGGAGGCACTTAGTGTATGTGGGTTAAATGAGCTGACGAATCTCTGGAGACAAATCTGAGAGTCCTGTCGCTCTGTTTTCCTCCGAGTTGGACATATCAGAGTGATGGGCAGGATAGTGAGTGAGGAAATTCCTACCAGCAAGCCCAGAGTAGCGGGGAGGCTGAGCCCAGGGCTGGCTCCGGGGCCTCTCACTGTCCCTGAGGAGCGGTAGGCCCAGCTCAGGCATGCCAAGATGGCCGGCGCTTGTGTGCAAAGCCAGCCTGTAGTCGCCTGGCTGCGGTTCCAGCCCCTGCTAAGGGAAGAGGGAGAAGGACTTGCTGTGGGCCTGTGAGTGCTGCTGGTTCATTCCTCAGCACTCCAGCGGAGAACCGACGGGGGTGGGCGGGGGGGGGGGGGGGGGGGGGCTGCGGTCAGTTATGCATGCAAACGCCTTCCAAGATAACCTCCCCACAGGAGACAGCTGGCGGTGGGGGTGAGCCCCTGCCCAGTCCTAGGGCCCTTCCCTCCCACCCCTCTCTTTTGACTTCTCTCCGCGTGTGTTTGCCTCATTCTTTTTTTCTCACCTCTGCAAAGGTAACAGACATGATGCAGAAGGCCCTCTTTGATTTCCTGAAGCACAGGTTTGATGGGAGGTGAGACACGCGGATGCTTTTGTGTTTTTATTTTCCTTTAACCGAACATGTATGATAAATTGATTTGTGAATCTGTGTTCCAGTGGTGCTAGAAGTTCTTTAATTAGAAGTTAACTCTGTACTCTTGGAAAGGGCACAGCGAAAGCTCTGAAAATATAAAGTATAGTATTGAATCCCTAAGGGATAAAGAGCTTTGAAAAGAAAAATAATTCATTTGTTTTATTGAAATGTGTTTGTCTTTATTTTCTCACTTATTAGCAAATTAGTGCCAAAGGTTTTTATGGAAAAATTAATTAAAATACATTTTTCTGATGACTGTGTTGGTTGACTGGTCACACTGAATAATACTATTTGAGAATGTGTGTGTGTGTGTGTGTGTGTGTGTGTGATATGAAGGTATAAAGTACTGACTTTTCCCAGAAGAAGAATCCAACAATAGTTTTCATCACAAACCTCCCAAAGTGACTATTGCAGGAAATACTACTTATTTGGATGCCTTTTTTTTTTTTTTTTTTTTAAAGAAATGAACTTGCTATTTTAGTTTTTAGAGCTTGGCTTCAGCTTTCTGTTCTGGTTTCTCCTTTTTGGTTTTTTGCGACAGGGTTTCATTATGTTGCCTAGACTGGTCTTTAACTCCTGGATGAAAGGAATCCTCCCTCCTCAGTCTCCCCAATAGCTGGAACTATAGGCCCCTGCTACCACCCCGCTGTACCCACTGACTGTGGTTTTGTTTGTTGTGGCGCTTGCCTTGGAACCCAGGGCCTTGTGCATGCTAGGAAAGTGTTGTACCGCTGAGCTACATCTTCACTCAGATCTTGTTAGTTTACAGGTCTGTTTTATGTGTATCCTCCTGTGATCCATCATCAGTAGGCCCAACCACCAAATAATCTTGTCATTTAAATATTGTGAAAAATGTCCAAATAGAGTTTCTGTGTTTTACAAAGAAATGGGCATAAGTCCATAATGACAATACAGAGTACAAGTTCTTCCACAATGCACAATATACTCCGTGTAAAAATAACTACATGAGAAAACCCTGAAGTTATAAAAAATGAAGAAAATTTCAATGATGTATATTGAGAAATCTGGATAATGCTATCCAATTTACCACCTTCAATGGGGTAATGAATTTTTAAAATTTAAATATCTTCAAGCAGATTTTAATAAATACAGCATTTTAAAGAAAAAAACATAATGCTTTAAGTACAAAGCATATCTACAAGTCTATATAATCTTTATGTACCAATCATATCTAGCTATCTCTGTATCTGTCAGAAGAAAAGCTTCCTGGGTAATCATGTTAAAAATATTCATTAGGTTCTGGGACTGTGTACAATGAAAGTAAGCTGAGATTTTAGCTCCAATAATTGAAAATTTAGTTAAAGGAGTAAGAATGCTTCTAGGACATCATTTGAATTCCCAAGTACATTAGTATCAGCCAGTGCGCTTTAATACATTGGTTCCAGGACGTGTAATGATTTTAACACTACAGAAGCTTATTGTTGCTCTCTCACCAGTGTGGAACGTGTGGCCCTGCGGGGAAGGACAGGGAAGTAGGGGAGGAGAAAGTGGGGCAGGAAGTTCCTGCCACCTGTCCTTTGGGGGCCTTGGCCTGGTTAGGGTCAGGGAGTCTCCCCGCTGCAGAAAGAATCATGCAGGGCCCGGAAGATACGTGCACCGCTGCTCACACTTTATCCGTTAGAGCTTGGCCGTAACCATACTTCACTGTAAAGGAGCCTGGGAAGCACAAGCTCACTGTTTACCTATAAATAAGAGGAAATAGATTGTGTTGAACCAGCAACAGTCTCTTCCACAGTCGTCTAGCAGACACAGAGGGCTTGGAAAGAAAGGCGTGTTGGGGCTGGGGATGTAGCTCAGCGGCACAAGCACCTGCCTGGTAAGTGCAAGGTCCTGAGTTCAATTCCCAGTCACAAAAGAAACAAAAACAAAAATGAAAGAAAGGCTTGTTTATCCTTTTCTACTATTTTTAAAGAAGAAAGGCAGAGAATGAGCAGTTTCAAGGAAGACTGAAAAGCACTGAATCGTGGATTATTGGCACTGGAAGGAAGGAAGTTCTTTAGTTCTTGATCTTCCTTCTCCCACAGCCTCAGTCAGGTAGACACCCTGTTCTGTTCGAAAACTTCTGGGGATTCACTTCCTCAGAATATATCACAGAGAAACGGCTGAACTGAGACCCTGACTTAACAGCTATGGCCTCACGTCTGCCCCGTGGCGGGCTTGCCGGGCCGTGACGCTGACCTTCACGGAACCGCACTGCATGGATGGCAGACAGCTGACGCGCGTGGCCCGGACTTGCTCGGCGTCACCTGTTTTTGACTGTGGTGCCTCCATCTCAGGCATTCTAACCAGGGCCTGGTGCTTTAGCCCACAGCAGTCTTCAGTCTGAAGAACTCTCACTCCATCCTACAGCCTCTGTTTGTGCTGGATTATCGTGGTCCTCGCATAACCGACCTATAAACAACACTGTCATCAAAACTTTGAAAGCTAGGACTGACAAGAAAAAGAAAGGATTTTATATAATTTAGTAAAGAAAAAGTGAGAGACTTAATTCCTGGCTTCAAGAATGAAAAATCTTTTGTCTTCCTCAGGCCTAAGATCCAGAAAGAGGAAACTCATTGAATTATAACAGCGCAGATCTGTCTTGAATCAATCATGTAGAATTGTCCACATCAATTACCATAGACACACAACGAAGTTCATTTAAACAGAAATCGAATTAAAATTGCAACACCAGGTGTTGGTGGGGTCTGATGATGTGGCAGAGAAGCTGAAGGAAGAATCCAGCAGCAGTAAGTGCAGAGGCAGAGACTTAGCGGAGAGAGGCCTTGTGTATGGCAGAGTAGGATAAGTATTATATATATCTCAATATTGAGAAGCTTATGCAGCAGAAAAACAATGAGTTCTTTGATGAATATATGCAGAGACTTTAATAAGGGAGAAAAAAATTGGCTGGAAGCTTCTCAGTGACTGGTTTGCCTTCTGTATGGGAAATGTCCTTGCATTTTGAGCAGTGATAACTTGCTGCATTTTGTTTTACCAATTAATAAAAAAATTAAAAAAACAGTTTTAATTGAAATCATCCAAGAGAACAGTTACACAGAAGGTTTTAGCTCAGTGATACAACGTAAGCCGTAAGTTCTACTGGAAACCTAGTGTTTCATTGGTTGTGAATGCAGTAGGTTAAACAAAATAATCAAGAGAACATCTTATTTTTCAAAGAGAAAAAGAGCAAAAAAGGATCCATTAACTGAGAAGATTTCTTATTCAATGCTCCTTTTCAGATCTTGTTGAGAAATCAATTCACTGAAGTAGACTAAAGTCCAACTGCCTATTATAAAATCATAAACTTGGATATTTGTCGGTACATTAAAAATTGAGTCAGTGTAGACCTACTCATTACCTGATTTTTGCTTTTGGAACTGCTGCTGTGGGCCTAACCACGAGACATGTAATAAAATGAAAGTTCCAATGCTAAGTAGTTCCTGAGGGCCCTCTGTATGTGTGATAGCCACAGGTAGTAATGGATAGTTATAACTAAAAGTGTCATCTTTCAGAAGAGAAAGATGCTGCTCACAGACGTATCTAAGTGAGCCTGTTAATCAGCCACAGCGGCGCTCACAGGCTGATGAGGACACAGGGGAAGCCCCTGGGCACAGAGCTCTCCTCCTCATGTACTACAGAAACTCGTGCTGGGATCATGCTTTCTGATAAGATTCGTTCAGCTGGTTAAATCTAGTATTCTTGGGCCAAACAGCAAGCAAACCAGCTGCAGAGTGTTGACCGCCCTCTAAAAGTTGTTTCTTTAGGCTTTGGATAACTGAATCAAATCAGTTCTATAGCATTTATCAGGCACTTTCTAACTGATGTGATCATGGCTTCAAATTCAAAATCTACAGGGATAGAATCTTAAACTGATGGAAGTTATTGGCCAGGGCACCGTAATGAAAATAAGGAGGGATTGCAAAAGGATTGCAAGAGAATTCAAAAGAGGCAAAGCTAAGAGTACAATTTAGAGAGATGCTACAAGATGATATGCATTGAGAGTACAAAGGAAATGGGAACAACTGATGCTGTCATAAAGCACCCCTAGTACGTGAGAATGGAAACAGTTTATAATTGCAGACAAGTGGAAGAGCCAGTAGTGACATCTGTTTCATAATCAATATCCTTCCCATCATCTCCTCTTACCAATCTCTATTCAAACGCCAGCTCATTAGTGGACAAACAGTAGAGATAATTGAACACTTTTATGCCAAACTTGAATGTTTACACAAGTACATTATTTTTTATTACATCATGTCTGACCTAATTCACCACTCCTCTCAGCGTATATGAATTCATCAGCTCTGCGGATAGGAGAGTTTATTGTAGATTGCTTAACTTTTGAGGACAGCATATAAGGAAACTATGTCCTTCAATTCTTCAAATTCCCAGTAATTGTCTTGAATACATTATACAGGTGTGTCTGTCAACATAGAAGTGAGAATAATTATTTGAGAATGCACTCTTAAGTATTACCTTGTTAGGTCCTAATTGCAGCCCCAGGAGATTGTTACGATGCATCTGCTATTGTTATTTTATTGATTAGGGTAGCTAGGTTCAAAAAATGTCATGAATTGTACACGATCATGGAACCACCAAGAGAAAGAGCCGGGGAAACGCGCAGGTCCTCCTGTGCCTTTCGTCCCTGCTCTGACAGTGTGCTGTCCTGTTCTGTGGGACACTTTCCTACAGATACTGAGTTTTTGTTAAAGGTTTGCGGATTGGGCTGCATACTACAAGTAACAAGAAGAGAGTACAGAAGGACTTCACAGCTGTTATATTACCGACATGGAAGTACTAATTAGTTTTATGTCATAACTAAAAGTGTTATCTTTCAGAAGAGAATCATAGAAAATTATCACTCATGCCCTGATGGATTGCAGCAGTGAAGACGAAGTCCAAC